ATAGAATGGCTTATCGAACGGCTGTCCAATCTTGGTGTACGGGTTCTTGCCCTTATGGGACCAGAGATCCCGGTGCACATTGGCCTTGAAGTACTCCTTGTCGTCCACATACCAGCGCATCTCATTGACGTCCCATTCAAAGGCGAACGCATGGAAAGCGGTACTGAAGTCCGAGAACTTAGTCTCCGGACTCCCGCTGAACGAGTTGTTAGGATAGGGACCGCCGTAATGGACGGTCGCCTCCACCGTATCGCTCTTCTGGCCCCGAGACTCCATTATGTCGATTTCACCGCTGGCCGGCCTATCGGTACCACAAAACTATACATTTCTTATACATATAAAATATACCCAAATCACATACCAGTCCCCATAAGTATCCTCTTTAGGCATCATCCATATGGCGGGCCATAAGTGCTTTCCCTTCGGGAGTCGGGCGCTGATGACAAACCGGCCGTAAGTCCACGTCTCGGTCGAGTCCAGGCGTCCCGACGTGAAGTGACTTTTGTCCACATTTTGCGGGTGCGCCTCAATCACCAGATGCCCGCCCTCTACCCTCACGTTTTGGGTCTTACCCTCCGTGTAATACTGGAGCTCATGGTTACCCCAATCTGGCGGTTCATACATATGGTATTAGTTAGCGATTATATAAAATATGACTAAATGTATGATTACTGGGTTCGGCTCCCGTCTCGTACGACCACTTGTCCGGGTCCAGTGAGTCCCCATCGAAGTTGTCCTCCCATACCAGCTGCCATTCCCCACTGCCCGGGTGTATGGCTAACATAAATGTAAGTAAAAGTATGTATGAAAACATTTTTTTGAAATTTTTACAATTGAATACAATACGAAAAATTCAATTTTACTGTCGATTCAATTGTCGCAGTGTTTGGGCTTTTATAGCGATTTCTGTGTGATTTGTTTCTTTAATTAACACATGTTTTCCAAGAAAAAAGATTAATCATACATTGATTTATTATTTATGCTGGATACACATATACCGTTTAGGCTCGGTTTGTTATACGGTAAAATAAACTAGTCATTAATATTTTAAATTAGTCACAATTTTCTTACAATTAGACTTGCTGCTATTTTTGGTATTTTATTACTTACAGCAAAAAAATTTTTTTTCAAAATTGATTTTATAAATACAGTATAACATAGATTTTCAACAGTACTCTGTACTGTATTATATTGTACAGTATTTTGTCATGTTATTTGCTGGGATCAATACTAAAAATAATACAAAAATTCCTATAATTACAAAACATAATAATTTCATTAATGTTTAATTCATTTCAAAAATAAAGTAGTTATTTTATTAACTACATTGGTTCCAATTATAAACCGAAAGTTTACTGTAACCACTCGAGATGTGCTTGATATAAATAAATGATAAAACATTCAATCTGTTATTTATAAATTATAAATCATTTATTGATTGTAGCGTTAAAACATAAACCTGTTACCCTTTTTAAACAATAAATAAAGTGTTAGATTTTAATCAAACCTGAGCAGATTTTCTAATTAAATATTAATATTATAGCAAACAATTTGATAGCACATTTGGCTTAAAAATAAAAATATCTCAAACATTATATAAATTGAGATTTTGTAATATTATATAAAATGAAATAAAATTTTATATTTAATATAAATTTTTAGTACTCTCAAATAAATATTTAATTTTCATTGGAAAACAACTCTATTATCATATCTTATAAAAAGATTTTGTGTTTTCAAAATCACTCGAAAAACATGTGCAATAAACCCATTGATTATATGAAAAATATAATTGATTAGGCAATTAATGTAAAAATAAAATTCACTCTAATTGATCCATATCAAATTGTAATTGCTATAAAAACCACGTATTAATTAAATTGTCATATCTAAGTGATTATTATTAAATATTTAGCTATAGATTATAGCATCTAGAAACCTCTTCACTAAAATTGAATGGCAAACACTTATTGCAAATTCGCTGTCATTTGAGACAATATATCGATTTCTTTTGCGAAAGTCTTATGTGTCTAAGCATTCAAAGTGTGATGAAATGATAAATAATATAATATTTGGCGAAAATCAAAGAGAAATTATACTACAGTAAAACAACTCTCTCTCTCTCTCTCTCTCTCTCTCTCTCTCTCTCTCTGCACTCTTATTATACATTCGTATCACTTCTTTGA